TTCATGGGGCAGAGCAACGCTTTTTTCTTATCAAATCTTTACTTTTATACGAAAACACATCGATTGAGTGTATTTTTATCAAAATTTATGGTGGCCAGGATGTTCTTTACATTAACCAAAAATGCTCTGTGGATATATCTTTATTGAATAACACGGAAAATTAAAGGGCATTCACCACAAACGCAAGATGTTGGTAGCTAATATTTTATATTTCAAATAAGAATTAAATAAACATTATTTAATTCTTAAATTAGGCTATCTTCTCTCATCATCTCATCATGATAGACAACCTTATATACAAAAATCTGTAGAGAAGATCAAGGAGAGGTTCAATCTGGAGTTATGTGGGGGAAGTTATATTGAGTAAAGGAAAAGTATGATCTTTCTTGTAATCGTTCAGTATCACTGTTCAATCCATCAATTTATTTTTTAATAAATATCTCTTCAGATGTGACTTTTTTGAGATCCACATCTGAAATAATGTTCATTAAAAAACTAATTGATGAATTAAACAAACAGGATGATACTGAACGATTACTACAGTCATACTTTCCTTTCCTCAATATAATTTTCCCCACATAACTCCAGATTGAACCTCTCCTTGATCTTCTCTACAGATTTTATATATAAGGTTGTCTATCATGATGACAGTTAACAGAACATCTTACAAGTATAGTTTGTTACAACAAGTCATCGTATCTCGATATTAATCTACATAATTTGTTGGAAACACAGGTATTATATTTATTATATAACTTGACTCATGAATTATTGTAATTTATTTAAAAACATTCATGCTACAATTTGGAAATTTTGTGTGCAATTTACTATTAATGACGAACGTTTGGACTATCGGATTGATTGTAATAATAGATATTCATTTCTCTGGATCATATAACTGGACACTTTTGTCATCAGTATTTATTAGGGGAACTCACTTTTAATCAAATAGGCGATAAATTTGTAACAAACGTTTCCTGCATAATTAATAAGTTAAACATAATATAACGTAAAAACTCAAATTTACGGCTTTTACGTTGTACTAATGCGTTAAATTATATTAAGAATTATTGTGCTACTGAAGATGGT